TTGCAAAGACTGCTAAGGGGGAGGGTGTATTAGTCTGCTCGGGCTGCCATAACAGAGCACCACAGACTGGGTGGCTTAAACAACAGAAATTTGTTTTCTTACAACTGTGGAGGCTGGAAGTCCAAGATCAAGGTGTTGGCAGGGTTGCTTCCTTCTGAAGCCTCACTCCTTGGCTTGTAGATGGCGATCTCCTCCCTGTGTCTTCACAGACTCTTCCTTCTGTGTGTGTCTGTGTCCTGATCGCCTCTTCTTATCAGGACAACAATCATATGGAGGTAGGGCCCACCCATATGATCTCATTTAACTTAATCACCTCTTTAAAGACCCTGTCTCCAAATGCAGTCACATTCTGAGTTTATTTGGAGTTGGGACTTCAACATCTGAATCTTGGGAAAGACAATTCAACCTATAACAGAGGGAAAACACAGCATACTCTGAGATTAAATGCTGGCTAAAAGTCCCAAGATCCCTGAAATTTCAATAGGAAAGGCAGGAGTTGAGAGTAGGAGGGAGCCTATATTCTCAAAGCTTCAAGCAAGTCTCGATTTTACCAGAGTTGAATTCGCCTCTAGAGAAGACAGCTTTTTATTTGAGGACAAATCCACTCTGTGTCTCACAGTCGTGAAGACATAAAGCAAACACTCCCGTAGGTATGGAGATGGTGGAGACAGCCGTGATGCCAGGGAACCAAACGAATCCATGAGATGCAGGGAAAGGTAATCTGTGTAAGCAGAGTGGTACCCTGCAGACCAGGAGAGAAAAGCTTCTTGCACTAGCCATGGATGTGACCGTCCTGGGCAATGAAACCATTTTTTATCCTTAGGAAGCTGTACGGTCTTATGCAGGCAACACTCACAGAAGATGAGAAACTGAGGCCTAGTCTTCACTGAGCACTAGAGAAGAGACTATAAAAAGGACCTGGGCTGAATTGTTAATGTCCCCCTCATGATGTCATTCAAGACCAAGGCCGCTGGGGCTGGGGCTGACTCATTGGGTTTGGAGGTATAGTCGTGTTGTGCTCTCAGTGCAGAAACACACGAAGCAAGGAGTGGAGTTGCTCCCCTACCAGGAATGGATATCCGCCCCCCCCATCACTCATCCCTGGAAGAAGTCATCCTGCAACATAAAATAAAGACGAGGGCTGCCAGTGTCCACCTAAAAGGAGAAGAAATTTCTCCTCCTCCGTGAACCTGCAGGAGTATAGGACAAAAAAAAAAACTGGGCAGAAGAATGCCAGGCTCTGTGACATGCCCTCTGACCTGTATCTTGTCCAGAATGGCCGGGGTGGCAAGTGACAACCAAGACGGAACATGGAATCACCCCCTAGAGGGTCACAGAAAATAGAGAGGAGACCAGCAAGATGCAGCTAAAGTGACAATAATATGGATGCCAAATGATAAAGTGACCTCTCTCAGTAGCTACTGGCCGTGGCCTGGACCTGTTTGCTCACTTCTGCTGGGCTGCGAGTTCCTGAGAGCCAGACCTCTTACTCGTCTTTTTGTCTCCAGAATGATCCTAGCACAGAGAAGGGCCTCAGTAATCACACAGTGGAGGACCTGGGAAGCCAAGCCCAATCCTGCAGAGAGGAAAACTGAGGCACAAGGGTATCAGACCATCGAGGGGCACAGGGCAACCGTGGGGAATCTCGGATGATGTTTTTTCTCTGTACTCCCCCATAGAAAGAGGTGGTCCCTCCCATCCTCAAACATGCCTCTTGACGGAACTTGCCTTGCAGAGAAACAGTGTGGAAAACAAGCAGAAAAGTATAACAGGGAGTAGTTCGTGGTAAGCCCGTGTCCAGGTAAAACATTCTGTGGATGAAGAAGAAAAATCACCAACAGCAAACCCCCGGGCAGGGCCAGACCACCAGGGCCTCCCGTTCCCGGCAGTGACCTGAAAACGACTTCTCTCCCAGGTACTGCAGCAATCACGAGGAACTACTGCATCCCAGAGCCACCCCTGCCTGGACTGAAGTCAAAGAGAGACAACGAAAGAGCTGGGGCCTGACCAGTTCATCTGAAGGAAGTCCAAGGTCAGGCAGCTCTGCCAACAGCATCCAAAAGCAAGAAGGTTCGGGCAACCTTGGTCTCACTGTTCTCTGCAGTCCTTCTGGTGAAAGGGACTGGCATGGTTCTAACTGCCCAGCTGGCTAAACAGAAAAAGAAAATTTATTCAGGAGTAGACTTGAGACAAAACATCGAGAAGTAACACCCCAAACCATGGCCCGATAAGGAAACTACCACGCATGCCAAACTCTAAGCGACAAGAACCAGTCCTGCCGCAACCACTACCGCAGCCAGCACTGTTTTCACTTCTGGGAAGACAGAAGAGGAATTTCCCCAGATACACAAAGACAGTTCAAAAGACATGGGGCCCTACAAGATGAAAAGAGTTCTGTGGATGGATGGTGGTGGTGGTTGTACAACAATGTGAATGTACTTAATGCCACTGAGCTGTACACTTAAAAATGGTTAAGATGGGGACTTCCCTGGCGGTCTAGTGGTTAAGACTCTGTGCTTCCACTGCAGGGGGCACAAGTTTGATCCCTGGTCGGGGAACTAAGATCCCTGTGTGGTGCGGCCAAAAAAAAAAAAAAGGTTAAGATGGTAAATTTTATATGTATTTTGTCACAGTTTTTAAAAAATTTTTAAGTTAACTAAAAAAAAAAAAAGACACTGGGCAGCTGTGAATATGACCAATGGCCACCCCTGATCTCAATAAACGCTTAGTGCATAAGTAAAGGTATTAGGTGGGGATGCTGGACTCCCAGACACACAGTAGTTGTCACCAGTCACTGTTTAACATTTCTCAGTTTCCTGAGCATTTTGTAGTGTACTTTGTGCTTCCTGTTATCAATGCTCATACCACACAGGATGACTGTTGTTTACATAATTATGGCTAATTTGCATAAGAATTTGCATAAGTATTTGCAACGTGCCTTACACACGTTATCTCAATTAATCCTCACAATAAACGGTGAGGTGGGTGATGGGTGACTGCATTGCTCAGAGAGTCATTTATACTGGAGGAGGAGGAGGGTATCAGTCAACAGAAATAGAAAGTGAACTCAGTGAAGTCAGTGCAAAGATCTGGAAGAACCTGTAGAGAAACAGAGAAAATAAGAAGAGAGAAACGTCAGCCTGTTTATGTTTGGGGGGGATCACAAAAGCGAGGGGCCTAGAAGAGTCTGGAACACAGGAGAAGTGTAACCAAATAGGATCAGGCTAAAAGGGCATAGATCCTGGCAACAGGCCCCCACTCTTACAGGCATGATGTTCTAATGAGAAAAGCCACGTATGAAGAAAGTAAACAGTCATCCCAGACAGGGCCACATAGAGTCCAGTTGGCTCTACCCTAAGGAAAGTTCTGGGAGGAAATTGAGAGGAGTTTGTGCCATAAGTTGAGGTCAAGAGAGATATCATCTGAATCGTGCATGATAAAGGATTAACTTGAACTACACACTCAAGGCAACATATGGGTCCAGCCCGTACCTGTTGCTTCTGCCACTGAGGTTGATCAAAGTCTGTGTGACTAATCAATTGTGTGTGTGCTCATCCCAATGGCCTCACGTGTTCCTCCCTGGCATCTCTGCCTGGAGAAAACTCCAGACGGGAAAAGGGTAGAAGTTCACTCCCCAGTTTGGGACTGGGCAGCTGCAGCAGCCCTCTACTTACACTGTTCTCCTGACCCCCTACTACCACCCAGCTGGAGTCTGCCCCAAAGAGATTTGGGGAGTAGGACAGAGAGTTCATAGGGTTATAATTCAAACTGAAGATTGGAGAGGTTAAATACCCACCCAAGACTGCCAGCTAGCAAGAGGTGGAGCGGGGATTTGAACCTAGTGTAATTCCAAAGCCCACACCCTTAATCACCAAGAATAGATCCAGATTCCTGTAACTAGCTGTGGGACCCGAGCAAGTTTGTTTAGCTTGTTGAGTCTATTTTCCCGCAAGTAACACCCTACGGGGTAATTGAGAGGATTGGAAATGATGCATGTCAAGTCTTAGCTCAATGCCAGGGCCCCAATAAAAGAGCATCAGTGAGCAAAAGTTATACACATTTTCAGAGGGAAACTCTCAGCCTCATGGATTAGGAACACGATTAGGGTTACATGGCCATTTGCTATCAAAGACAGATCTTGATCCTGGGTTTTTTACCCCACATTCCAAGCATCTGTCTGGCCCATTTGAGGGTTTGGGTGGGAATGTGGGGAGGACTAAATCTAAGTGTCTTCCATAAGAAATTCAATTTTATTTCATTGAGGACAAGGCTGTGTGCATCTGCTCCATGTGAAGAACTATGGCAGGTACTGAAGAATGGGGCAAGATGAGGGGGACCCGGCTCTGCCCTCAAGGGCAGTGATGTGGCCGGTGAATGGGCCTGGGGCAAAGTTGTAGCAAGGGTACCCTTCCTGTCTTCTTCCACCAGGGAAATGGGTTTAGCTAAGCCAGTGATTCTTAACCTTGGCCACACATTGTTATCACCTGGGGAGCTTTAAAAATGCTGCCACCTGGCCCCAGCCCCAGAGGTTCTGAGTTCAATGGTCAGGCATGCAGCCTGGGCGTCAGTGCATGGGGCAGCCAGGTTGAGAACCCCCAAGCTAAGCAAAGATGCAGTTCTTGGGCGAACTGGGGTATGGGAGGAGGAGGGAGTGTGAGTGGGGTTTTTCTGTGTCACGGAAGTAAACGGACCAGTGAGGAGGAGAATGTCCAGGGCTGTGGCCCCTAAGGCCCTAGACGCAAGCCCCGGGCACTCATGACAGGAACAGGACAGAGCCCCTGCCTCTTAGCGGGCAGCTGCAGGTTTCACAGGCAAGACCTCAGACACGCAGTCAGGACAAACATGCTTCCATCAGCCTGAGACACGGTTTACTGCAAGAGCTGTTCACCAGGCACATGAGAAAGAAAGGTGTGACTCCAGCTCTGGACTGGCCTTCCTGATCATGGAAGGCAAGCTGCATGGCCACCTGGAAACGGTCTATTGTGTTTCCAGAGTCAGATAAATAAAATGCATTATTATTTTATTAGCAACTCTTAAAAGTTCCTGTAGTGGCGTGAGTTACAACAGATACAACTACTTTCATATATTTATGTGTTTAGCACTTAATTCACACTCGCTTGCACTGCAAGACACTCAGCTGTAACACATTTTTACTGTGGTCTGTTTTTCCACATTCATCAGACTTTATTGATTACTAACCGCCAGGACTTCTAGAAAGCAGTCGTCTTGTTTCCAATCATCCCCTTCTTTTTTCAGTGTTATCTGGCCATCTTTGTTACTATAGGACGTGCTTTCCATGTTGCTTTCTCTTTTGTCTCCCGTCTTTCATTAGTCTTTCCTCTATGATTTCTCAGAGTTCTTACAGACTCTTCCACCATTTTGTGCTTCTTAAAATGTTAACACATAAGACTTAATTGAGGAAAATACTCAGAAAACTCAATTCTTTTTTCTTTTATCTCCCCACCCCAACGTGCGTGCCCCAACCATAACTCCACACCCTTGTCTTTCAGGGTCACCTTCTCAACCTTCCACCCAAGTTCAGTAGCCCTAGAATTCCTGAGGCCCTGCCCTCTAAAGGCTCCGCCTCCTTATTAGACAAACTCAATCCCTGGACCCACCTCCAGCTCAGATGTTCCGCCCAAACCCCCCTCAGGCTCCTCCTCTACCCAGGCCCCGCCCCTCCACCTTCACAGACTCCTCCCTAAGCCCTACCCCTCTCCTGACCCGAGAAGCACCGCCCCCAGGGCCACAGCCCTATATACCACCACCACCACCCCTAAGCCTCACCTGGCCCGCTCCCCTGCTCAGGTCCCTTCCTTGATCCGTTTCAGGTTGCATCTAAGGCTCCCGGGATCGTGGCTCCCAGGCCGCTGAGCTCGGACTCTGGGGCTCGAGGCACGTGGCGGCCATCTTGTCGTAAACTCAATTCTTATACTTTCAAGTGTTGTGTCAAGTCCGAAGTTGGTGGTATGTCGAACATTACTTGAGGTAGAAATCCTATGCTTGGCTTTTATGTAGAATGGCTAAAAGCTCAGAAACATGCATAGAACTTCTCATTGTCACCACCTATGTCGATATGGGTCGTCGAGGAAGCAGATGCTGGACTTAGAGGCAGAGCTGGCGTTAGGAGTGAAAGATTTGGTGGAGGGCCATAACTATGAAAGATAAAGGCTGAGGAGGCAGGACTGGGCAGGGAAAGCCTTCAGAGGGCCATGCAGATCCTATCCTGTGAAAAGAAATGCAAGAGGAAGAAAAATAGGGCCGGGAACATCTCAGACCACAGTGCAGATCATGCAAAGTCTTGGGCAACCCAGTGGGGAGTGAAGCAAAACTGCCCATTAGAGGGGTCTCCCAACGGGCAGAAATGGTGGGTGCCGGTGTCTCCACCACACTCAGTCTTTGGCTTGGGAGCCGCCAGGGACGAGCGAAGCTGGCTTAAATGCTGCAGCCGGAGGCGATCAGCTAAGCTCATTCTTCGCAGCTGAAAGAACTTCACAAGTTCTTTCTCGTAGGGAGATCCAAGCACTGCTTCTCCGCAGCCGCCACGCCCCCTCCCATCTCCTGACAATGCAAGCCTTTATAAATGAAAGGCTCAGCTTCGTTAAGGTTATTAAATGCTTGTCTTTTCTCGGCCTGGCGTGATAAAGTAAACACCGTGCCCATCTGAACTGTGGGGAAAATGCAATTAAACGTTGTACAGAGAGATACAATTGACAGTCAGTGGCAGAGCCACGGGTAACTGTTTTCTTTCTGCTTTTCTCTATGTTCCAAATTTTAGACCTTGATCATTTATTTTTCTTTTTGATTGGAAAATATAATGAACATTTTAAAATTAGTCTCCATATCATACCTTTTTGATCCAAAATGGCATCCCCCAATTTGACAGCCCAACAAATTGCTTTCACATAGGAGAACGTGATAATAGACCAAGCATAGCTTTGAGCTCAGACAGATCTGAGCTTGAACCCTGGCCCTGTGACTACTACTCTGAACTCTGGGCAGGCCCTTACCCCCTCTCAGCCTTCACCAAGAAAGGCAGACACGTGTCCTTACTTCTCAGCTTTGCTTTAATAAAGCATTTTTAAATCGATGTTTAAGCCTTCCCAAACTGCTAGAAATTTCTAAAACTCCACATTCAAAGGACAAAGAGTGGCCATAGCTGAGGAAATCCAAACTACTTTCCTGGGAAAGTCCTAAAAATGAGTTCTAAAAACCTCCTCGAGGGGCTTCCCTGGTGGTGCAGTGGTTAAGAATCCACCTGCTGATGCAGGCGTCATGGGTTCGATCCCTGGTCCGGGAGGATCCCACACGCCATGAAGCCTAGAAAAAAGCCCGCACGCAGCAACGAAGACCCAATGCAAGCATAAATAAATAAATAAATTTTAAAACTAAAAGCCTCCTTGACAGCACTTCTAGGTATACATGCCTAAGAATTCAAAGTAGAGACTCAAACATGTATTTATACACCCATGTGTATACACTTCCACTCACATGTCAATAATACAGTAGCATTATTCACAATAGCCAAAAGGTAGAAACAACCCAAATGGCCATTGACAGATGAATGGGTAAGCAAAATGTGGTATATACAGACTATGGAATATTATTCAAGCCGAAAAAAAAGAAGGAGAATCTAGTATACACCGTAACACAGATGAACCTTGAAGACATCATGCTAAGTGAAATAAGCCAGACACAAAAGGACAAATACTATATGATTTCACTTATATGAGGTACCTAGAATAGTCAAGTTCATAGGGACCAAAAGTAGAATAGAGGTTACCAAGGGCCGGAAGGAGGAGGGAATGGGGAGTTAGCATTTAATGGGCACAGAGCTTCAGTTTGGGATGATGAAAACGTTCTGGAAATGGATGGCGGTGATGGTTGCACAACAGTGTGAATGTACTTAATGCCACTGAACTGTACACTTAAAAATGTTACAGTGGGGCTTCCCTGGTGGCGCAGTGGTTGAGAGTCCGCCTGCCGATGCAGGGGACGCGGGTTCGTGCCCCGGTCCGGGAGGATCCCACATGCCGCGGAGCAGCTGGGCCCATGAGCCATGGCTGCTGAGCCTGCACGTCCGGAGCCTGTGCTCCGCAACGGGAGAGGCCACAACAGTGAGAGGCCCGCGTACCGCAAAAAAAAAAGTTACAATGGTAAATTTTATGTTCCAGAGATTTTACCACAATAACAAAGAATTTCTAAAACCTCCTTGTCAATGCAGTGTTACTACTTAAACCCAGGCAGGGAGCAAAGCTGAGCTGCCTGCAGGTGTTTCTCCCATGGAGAAGCAACATACAGCTTGCGCAATTCATTGCATTTTTCATCACTTGTAATTATAAAAATAAAACCACATCACAGAAAAATTTGAAACTAAAGAAAAAACTCATAATCCCATTTCTTTTCTTCTTTACAGGATTTTATTTTTAGACCTAGTTGTAACCATAGTGTTTGGACAAGTCCCAAAAGTGACTTCCAGAAACGTCCTTCATCTGAGCCTCAATTTCCTTAGCTTTAAAATAGGAGTCATATTTCCAGAAACCTCCTTGGTGATGCCCAGAGCAAGACTGACACTATGATTTCTCTTGGGATGCTCAGCCATGCTTCCCCCAGAGTAGGAAGCATCCGTTCCCCAGTGGATGTGAAGAGCTGGGATGGTGGCAGAGGGGAGGGAGAGTAGGAAGAGAGAAGGCTAATGGCTGTCTATGATTCCACAGGTCATTGGCACACGTGTACATGCATGCGCACATGTACACGAGCACACACAGGTTCTCCCCCTGCTGAGGGTCTATGACATCCCTGTGGCTCTGTTGCAGGTTGAAGCGCAAAAGGAAAAAGGAACTGGTTGTTGTGGTAGCCCCAGGCCCTGGTCACGAGGACAATCTGGCTGACGGCTGAGACCCTCTGCAAGGAGCCCAGGATAGGGTGCTCTGGGAAAAATAAGGTGGATCTATGGCCTCCTGTTCAGTTTGATTCCCACCAGGACAGCAGAATGCAAGTCTGGGGCTGGACACACCCACGTTCGAGTCTCAGTGCAGCCTTAAGCAAGTGACTTGCTTTCATCTGAGCCTCAATTTCCTTGTCCTTAAAATAGGAGTCATACTTCCTACCTCCTAATGGTGTTATGAGGCCTGAAAGAGAAACCATGCAAAGTGCTTGGCATGGAGCCCTCGCTAAATGGAGGCCATATCAGACACAGCCCTCCTAAAGCCCCGGAAGCAACTTCATTGACCCAACCAACCAACCAACCAACCAATACTGAAAACCTTTCCACTGTGGACCTGGTTGTGAACTCAAGTGAAGAACTCACCAAAATTATTTTAACATTGTAAAGAAACACTGGAAAGACTTAATAAAAGGTTCACTTAAGTAGGTTCTCAAACCACATTAGCAATCATTCCATAACAAATAAATTGACCTGGCTAGAAGAACAGATTTTGGAAATAGCTTCAGACGGTCTTGACACAAAAATCTGTTGAAGAGGAGGCACATATATCATTCTGATTAGAAATTCACTTTTAGTCTCCAATTCAATCAAGGCAGGCAGATATTAGTTAGAGGAACACTAGTTGCTATAATAGATGAACTCCAGAGTATGGTAGGAATTTATTTCTCACCTCAGTAAATCTCAGTGTTCCTGGTGGACAGGCAGCTTTTCTCCATGTGGTGACACAGGAACCCAAGCTCCTTCCATCTTGTGGCCCTACCATCCCCTGGGGCCTCTTTATGGCAAGTGGAAAGAAAACAAAAAAGTGGAAAAGCTTCATTGCTTCTTAAAAGGTGACCCACAAGCATCACACGTCACTTCCACTCACATGTCATTGATGGGAACAAGTCACATGGCTACAGTGGAAGTAAGACTGGGAGAAAATATTTGCAACAAATACATTTGATGAAGTTCTTTAAAGTTCAGTGTCTAGAATATGTTAAATATATTATGAAGAATATATTATACATAATAATATATAGAATTTAAACTCAGAATATATAAAGAACTCATAATTCAATAAGACAAACAATTGAGTTAGAAAACAGCAAAAGATTTGAATAGACACCTCATCAAAGAAGATATACAGATGGCAAATAAACACATGAAAAGATGAAAAGATGCTCAACATCATTGGTCGTCAGGGAAACTCAAACTAAAACCACAATTAGATCCCACTATACACCACTAGAATGGCTAAAATTAAGAAGACTGAGTATCCCAAATGTCGGCAAGGATGTGGAGCTACTGGAACTCACATGCAAGGCCAGTCAGAATGTAAAATGGTACAAACTCTCTAGAAAACAGTTTGGAAGTTTTCTTATCCATAAGGTGTTTAACTTTTTAAAGTTACGTATACCACTGGACCCAACTATTTTATTTTTATTATTATTCTTTTGGCTGTGTTGGGTCTTTGTTGCTGTGCGCGGGCTTTCTCTAATTGCAGCGAGCGGGGGCTACTCTTCGTTGCGGTGCGTGGGCTTCTCATTAAGGTGACTTCTCTTGTTGCGGAGCACGGGCTCTAGGTGCGCAGGCTTCAGTAGTGGCGCACCAGCTTAGTTTCTCCGCGGCATGTGGGATCTTCCTGGACCAGGGATCGAACCTGTGTCCCCTTCATTGGCAGGCAGATTCTTAACCACTGCACTACCAGGGAAGTCCCCCCAACTATTTTAGAGTATACATTTTTTCAGAAATGCATGGAACATTTAAGAAATTTAATTATATTCAGGTCTTAACAAATTTCAAAAGTTTGATATCCTGTAGACCACTTTTTCTGACAACAGTACAATTAAATTTGAACTCAATTACAAACAGAAAACTAGGGGGAATAAACGTGTTTGGAAATTAAGAGGCGTATTTTTTAAAGTCATGGGTTAAATAATAAATCAGTGGAAATTTTAAAAATACTTAGAATTCTACAATAACAACAGTACTACATGTTAAAACTTACAGAGTTTACCTAAAGCATTACTGTGCTAGTAGGAAATGTATATTTTTATGTTTCTGTTACATAATGAGTTTTTAAAAATAGACAGAAAAACTAATAGTAGAACAAACCCAAAGAAAGTTGGAAGAAAGGGAATTATATAAATAAGATCAGAGAATAATGAAATATAAAATAAACATACACAGAAGGATCAACAAAACCAAAAGTATGGGTTGTTTTTTTCCTTTTTTCTTGGTCACACTGTGTGGCATATTGGATCCGGGATCTTAGTTGCGTGGCATGTGGGATCTTAGTTCCCCAGCCAGGGATTGAACCTGCTCCCCTTGCATTGGAAGCACAAAGTCTTAAGCACTGGACCACCAGGGAAGTCCCAAAATTATGTTATTTTAAAAGATTAATAACACTAACAAACCTCTGTCAAAATTGATCAAGAAAAAAATAACAGAAGGCATAATATTAGGAATGAAAAATGGTATATAACTGCAGGTGCCACATAGATTGAAAAGATGGAGAATATTATATACAATTTTATGCCAATAAGTTTGAAAACAGAAACATATGGACAAATTCCTAGAAAAATAAGCTGACACAAGAAGAAATTTAAAATCTGAATAATCCTATAGCCATTAAAGAAATTGAATCAGGGACTTCCCTGGTGGCCCAGTGGTAAGATTCCGTGCTCCCAATGCAGGGGGCCTGGGTTCGATCCCTGGTCAGGGAACTAGATCCTGCATGCATGCTGCAACTAAGAAGCACGCATGCTGCAACTAAGAAGTCTGCATGCTGCAACTAAAAGATCCCGCATGCCGCAACTAAGACCCGGCACAGCTAAAATAAATAAATAATAAATATTTTTAAAAAAGAAGAAAGAAATTGAATCAGTAGTTTAAAATCTCACCACAAAGAAAACGCCAGGTCCAGACGGTTTTATTAGTAACTTCTATCATTCAAGGAACAAATAACTCCAAATTTTTTTTTTTTTTTTTTTTTTTTTTTGTGGTACGCGGGCCTCTCACTGTTGTGGCCTCTCCCGTTGCGGAGCACAGGCTCCGGACGCACGGGCTCAGCGGCCATGGCTCACAGGCCTAGCCGCTCTGCGGCATATGGGATCTTCCTGGACCGGGGCACGAACCCGTGTCCACTGCATCGGCAGGCGGACTCTCAACCACTGCGCCACCAGGGAAGCCCAATAACTCCAATATTTAACTCCAATTTTAACTCTTTAAAATTATAGTAAAGGAAGAAACACTCCCTAATTTATTTTATACTAAAATTAATACCAAAACTGATATGAACAGTGCACGAAAGAAAAATTATGAGACAATTTCACTGATGAACATAGACACAAAACTCTTCTTAAAAAATCAGCAAACAATTCCAGCAACGTATAAAACAATCTTGACCAAGTTCAGCTTATTGCAGGAATCCAAGACTGTTTTAATGTTCGAAGACCAATTCATATAATTCAAAGATTTAAGGAGAAAAATGACATGATCATCTCAGTAAATGGAAAATTTTTGATAAATTTAAATATTCATTCATGAAAAAAATAAATATAAAAAAAATCCTTAGAAATCTAGTAGAATTTCCTCAACCCCTAAAGAGTATCTACAGAAAACTGGCAACAAAAATCCTATTTAATGTGAAACATTGAATGTTTTCCCTTTGAGGCCAAAAAAAGAATGTCTGCTAACATTTTCATTCAGCACTGTATTCGACAAAGAGATCTAAAGGTATAAGGATTGGAAAACAATAAATCAAACATTCAATATTCATATATATTATCGCTACATGGAAAACATAAAAATCTATAGAGAAATTATTAGTTTTAATAAGTCCGCAAGGTGGCTGAATAAGAAATTAATACACAAAAGTCAATGACTTTCTACAATCAGTAACAAATAAAACAGTAATTATTAAAAAGATAATCATGCAAAAATATAAACTGAAATGAATAAATCTAACAAAAACTATGTAAGTGCTTTATGGAGAAAATTATAAAACTCTTTTGAAAAACATTAAAGATCTAAATAAATGGGGAGGGAGGTTCATGGGTACTTTTTAATTTTAACATACTTTTCTTCTAAAATGCTCAAAATTAACTCTTTGGAAACATATAAAAACTATTTTAATTTTTAAATATTTTATTATATTCATTCAAACATCGCTGGCCCATCTACAGGGTATCCAGAAACAATTATGATTAAATTCGGTCATATTTACTACATTGCCAATTTCAGTAACAGGAATTACATAGCTGTACACATAGTTTTATACACATTTACACATATGTATTTTTTGATCTTGCCATTAAAAAGGTGCGTTTGTCAAGGTAGAAGGATGGAATGCATATAGCACTTTGTTGGCCTGATTCACAACTTTTAAATATTTGGACAGATGGCATGTGAGCCTCCTTTTGCCTTCTTGTCATGGGATCCTCTGACATTAGGAGCAGGCCTGATGAGAGGCACTGCGGTGGTCCTGGCTGTGGGCAAGGAACCCATTTATGGTTTCCGCAGACTGTCTCAGCGGGCGCCAGCCCAGGTGAGTCAGGATATCTGTCCTGTTTGGAAACGTCAATCAAACTCCATGAAGCTTGTTCCTGGGAGGAAGCTAGTGGACATTCAGGTCAAACCTACTCAAGCTGCAAAAGGGAAACAAGCATTCAAAGCCTCTCACTCTGGGGCTATGTTGAGTCAGGGCTGGAAGACGGGCGTTGGTTGCAGGAGGTTCTAGAGACGAGGCTGGGGATCACAGAAAGGAGACAGAAAAGCCATTTCTCCTTTCTGTCTGTTCATAGCAAAGCTGAAATTCATTCAACAAGTATTTCCAGAGTGCTAATCGTGGTCATCATCATCAAAATAGCTAAGATTTATGAAGCACTTATGTCCCAGGACCTGGTGAGGTGACTTTTACATATAACCATGTACAATACATGTTATACACAACAGTCAGATGAATGGGGTACTAGTATTTTCCCAATTTTACAGATGAGGAAACAGAGGCTTGATGTTAAGTGACTTATCCAGGGTCATAAAATTTGTACATGACAGAGCTAGGATATGAATCTGGAGAAACTTGGGTGAATCTGGAGAAACTTGGGTCTACACATTGGGCCATAAGCCAGTGCCAAAGTTGTAGAAGTGAGTCATGGTCTACTGGGAAAGTCAAATATGCACATAGATGTGTCTTGATAACTCAAGTTGGATAAAACTAGATGATCAAGAAGGACATCTAAATGAAGCAAAGTTAATGACCTGGGAGCGATGGGGCATGTTGGAAGTATAGTGAGGGGCCTATCAGACTCTAGAAAAGAAACACACAGAAACAGCATGGGTGAGTAGTAACCAAGTTAGCTTAATATTGGAATGTGGAGGACTTCTAAGGCCTAGTTAAAGGAGTTTGGACTTTCTCTTCCAGTTAATGGTAAGGTAGAGGAGTGACAAACAGCCTTAAGATTCATTTGTCTCCTCTGTGTTGGGTGAATGCAGTAGACACAACCAATGACAAGATGACCAGTGGACCAGTGAGGAAGCCCATGGCACACAATGACATGGCCTTATGGTGGGTGTTGGCCATCAGATAGGGAGAAAGGAATGGTTACAATGAGCTTGGCAAAGAAAGGATGGATAGGGCTTGCAGACGTTTAGCCAGCCAAGGGAAACTAGTTAGGATTAAGACCAGGAATAATACTAGGGTACTACCAGGAATGCAACGTAGCCTCTAAAAATGATAGTTATGAACAATACATAGCAATTCAAGGAAATGCTTAAAAGGATAAGTGAAAG